TTTTTAGCGCATTTTTTCAAATTTATTTGTAAAAAGTAGCTTTTAATCTCACTTTGGCTGGCTGGCTGGCTGGCTGGCTGGCAGCAAATGTGGGCGCGTAGAAGAACTCTTGTAGAAAGGCAACGGGTGTACGTGTATCTACAGGGACGTGAAATTTATCAACCTTAGGGACATGGCTACATGATGTGGGGTTGGCGACATCTGGGCGTCATCCTCGAGCGTAGTATACTAACGTGAAGGTTTTTCAGTTTTTTTCTATCTTCTACTACAGTTTTGGTCCGATTCTTTTCAAATTGGTGTCGTCGGAAAGATGTTGTAAACGCGCACAACTCCTGCGTGGCGGAATTTTGTTTTTTGTCCTAGGGGCGAAATTAACGATCTTTTGCGAGGCGCGCGCGCGCGTCTTCGAGAAGTAGTCAACTTCGGGCGCCTTTTACCTTCCGTTGCGAACTCACGCGGTTTAACGTTTCGTAAATCTCGAATCGCTGTTTCTCTTTCTCGTGTCGCCAATAGAAGTGAATTGCGAGTGAACGGGACGTCGGAAGTGGGTACCGTCAAAGGGAATGTGGTAGCCCGCGACACGATCTTACTGATGGTGTAGTCAAATCTTCAACCGCGAATGGCGGGTGAACGGGACGTCGGAAGTGGGTACCGCCAAAGGGAATGTGGTAGCCCCCGACACGATCTTCCTGATGATGGAGTCAAATCTTCAAACGCGAATTGCGGGTAAACGGAACGTCGGAAGTGGGTACCGTCAAAGGGAATGTGGTAGCCCCCGACACGATCTTACTGATGGTGGAGTTTAAAAGCGAATTGCGGGTGCACGCGGAAAGTGGGAAGCGGTTAGTGAATGTAGTAGCCTTCGACAAGATCTGTTATTGATGGTTGAGTCGAAAGTGGCTAATAGAATACTGATCTGCCACACAAAAATGCGCTGAAGTCCCTTCGATCTCAAACGAGGACTTTGATAATTTTTTAATTTACTACTTTGATTTCACCAAAATACCTTATTTATTATTCAATTTTCACGCCAGTGCTTTAGAAATTGCAGTCAAACTCATTTGCTGATTTGCTGTGGTAGTTTACATTTATAATCAAAATAATTAATAAAAATGTCGTTTTAAATGTAGTAAAGCGTTCTTTTGGCAAGATTTTATTATATATTATTATTGAGTTAAAAGTAGTAATCTATCCGAAACTGATTTTTGTCTAAAAGACACTCTCGTGACAATTCAATAATTAAGTGTTATATTTAAAATGTAATATAGAAATCCATAGTAAATTCTTTATTAAAAAAATCTAAAAATTCAATGTGACCCCTACGTTCAAAACAAATTGCAAAAATAATGTCATAGTCTAAACCGCCCATTTCTCAAGTAGGTATATACTTGTTTTTTTTAAGACGGATTTATTAAAACGCATAATTCAGTTCTTTTTAGCGCATTTTTGCAAATTTATTTGTAAAAAGTAGCTTTTAATCTCACTTTGGCTGGCTGGCTGGCCGGCTGGTTGGCAGGCTGGCTGGCTGGTCGGCTGGCTGGCAGCAAATGTGGGCGCGTAGAAGAACTCTTGTAGAAAGGCAAC